AATGAAAACATGAAATGCGTAATAATAATGAGCGTCCGACGATTTTCCTCGCCCGCTGAGAATATATCGCCACCCGCGTATAATCAATGTGTACGAGCAAAGGATTGTTTTTCATTCCGCATGCGATTACACTTGAAGTGCTATATGCCACACAGGTATAGGCACAGCGTTTCGTATATAATATTATTGTGTGTATATCAGTCTCTGGCAGCTGCCTCGATGACGACCCAAGTCGTTCTATAGCCGTGGCTGTTTAGTGGTACACACACACACACACACACACACACATTTATATATATATATATAATAGCTATAAGGGGGTACACGTATTTTATCGAGGCTCATTATTTATAATTTACTTCTTTCCGTTTCGATTTTTTTCTTTATTATTATTATTATTCTACAGCTCATAAATGGGGCTACCATCAGAGTTATATAGATACCTAGGTATTTTAATGCTATAATGGTTTTTTTCTTGTACATATTGGTATAATACCTCAGACTATATTATACCAACTACTGCAGCAGTGTTTGCATACAATTATTTCACGCAAAGACGACGGCCGCCGTCATTATACATATTATATTATGCTACACGCCTGTATTGTAATATTGTGTTCACTGCATGTATATAATACTCCGATTCTCGTGCACCGTAGACGTTTATTTAATTTGTTTTTTATAATATTGACGAGGGCCGTCCCTTTCGCTTCTTGGCCATACCGAGTTTTCTCGATCATTTTCGCGCATATACAAGCACACTGTTATATTCTAATATAATGTATATAATATATATGTAATTACAACAACTTCATATTCAAAGTTCACATAATATGACGTATCTACGGTAATTTTCTCATAGTAACAACGCATAATATAGTAAGTTACTAATGGGAAAGTCAGTTTTCTTATATAATATATAGTAAGAATAGCTAAATACAACCTAGCCAATTAAGGTATTATATATGCATTAAAGTATTAAACGAATCAGCATAACTTAAAAAAAATATATATATATATAACACTTAACTAAAGAAAAAATACCTTTTTTATTATTACGACTATTACACTCATTTTCTACATTTTTAATTTTTAATTAGGTAGCTGAAGCTTTTTTTATAATGATTGTCGAGTGCATTGTTTTTATCTCCTTATTCAGTATACCAAGTTCAACTTTATAGCTTTTTCTAAATTTTCTAACCGTATTATTTTTTATCCAATCTGCTTTTTAATTTATTGATTCATAATTAATAGTTGTAATACTTAATATTTATTGGTAGGGCTTGAATATAAATGCCCTTAAAATACCGAAAAATACATTATTTATTATATAAATTCAAATTATTATGTAAAAAAGTAGAATATAAAAAATTAAAAAATGAGTAAAAAATTAAACTCGAAATGAAAATAATTTATATTACGTAGTACTATGTATAGTACTTAAATTTCAATAAAGTCAATTTTTTTAATCATAATACAAAAATAGGTCAAAAATGTCCTAAAAAATTAAAAAATGCATTAAAAACGTCAAAAAATGTCCCAAATAAATGTTTTGGTTAAGAATACGAAATACTTGAAATACATTTGTAGCTTGGAAAGCATCGAGTTAGACATTCAAAAAAAAGATGCTAATGCATTCAAGTTCGAACCCTACTTATTAAGTATCCTTATAATTGCGACGTTAAAAAAGTTTGAATATACCCACTAATTACTGAAATAAATTGCACATTTATAAATTTTACTTAGTTATGTATATACTTATAATTTATGTCAGTTTTCGGCAAAACAACTTTATGATAAGCTGATAATTATTGTTTATATAGATTATATAGTTGTATCTATAATTCAAAACTAATAGATTTTAATTAATTTCTATCATTTAATTTGTCAATACTTATAATAGTCATTTAATAATTTATATATGTATAATGTATATAAATGTAAATAAAATATATGATAATATGAGTTAAGGCTATATATTGCTTATATAGTTCTTACATTATCAAAAGCAAAAAAATTAAATTAATTGCTATAAACTAATAGGTAAAAGTTCCAAGTGATTTTTAAAAATCTAAATTAGATAATAGAAGACTGTGTTGCACGCTAATCTTTCGTTATTGGTACTCCACATATGATTTATACTCAGAATTCGTGTAACTTGTTGAATAGAAAACAACTACTTGATTTACAACCCTTAGTACTAAGGACATTGTAAGTTCATTATTGCCTCTTTTGTTTTTCTTTCCCTTTCAGATCACGTCACATCTAAATTTTTTGATATTAATAAATTAACTAACAACATTTAAAAAAATTTAAATACTTACTCAACGCCATTTTTTAACTGATCTATTATACAGTATTATACTGTTATTAACTCCTGCCGTTGACGTGCTTAATAAATGAGAAAGATGCTACATTTATTTTTTCTGAGATGCAGATAGATTAGTATGACTCCATAAAATCAATTATGGTTTGCTTCTGGTCACCAGTCACAGAACAAGATTTAATTTCCTTTTCTTTTAATATTTTGTACCTTTTAACGACAACTACAACTAAGAACTGACAAGTAAACAAAAATATAAAGCACACAGATCACTCTAAATGACTAAACAGAAAATAATCGCTTTTTATATGATTATATTTATATTAATGCGCATAAAATTTATTTTGTAATTTTAGTAACAATTATCGACGAAATCGATTTTGTTTATTTTGTTGTAATCTAAATACAATTTGGTCGTAGATACTTGAAATTTTCATCAAATATATATTTTATCATATTCTATATATAATATGATTTTCAAAATATTTTAACACTTTTTGATATAGTTATAATAAATTGAATTTTTTTATAATTGGTGATAAAACATTGTTAGATAAAAAATCTTAAAAAATGTATACAAGATTTCACATAAACTATTCTTATATCTATAAAAATATATTTATAAAAACATACTTTTTTTATACACCCACATTTAAAATTGAAAATTTTACAAAATTATGAAGAATTATAAGCTACTAACATTTTGTAGTAAAATATTTCTAAAATCGTCTGTTTTCAACTTATTTTACGTTATTATACTATAATATAGCATAATATTCTTAATAAATATTTTAAATCATTACTAAAAATTTAAAAATTATATAAACATAATATTTTTGAAGTTTAAATTTGAACGAACATAAACACATAAACCATGAATAACAATGTTCATTATTTTTTTATAATTTAATAACATATTATTTGTATAAAATTTAAGCTTTTACGTATATTATAAATTTTACTTTGGATAATAATATTTTTAAAATAATATGTCAATTCATTTTTAGATATTACCTATTTATATCATAAAGCTATTTACACTATTTTACGGTAAGATGGTATTTTAAAGTTCATAACAATAAAATAATATGCTACTTATAGATTATATTTATTATTATAATATTATAATATAATAAATCCAATATTTATTCAATATTGATTATACAATAAACTTTTATATTATATAAATACGTATATATAATTATATACATATTTATAAGATTTTAATATTTATTTATTTTAGTTTATTTATTCAATGCTAATCTCTTTATAAATAGGGGCTAAATGTTGAAAAAACTATTTCCAAAAGCGGGTACCTTAATTGCGCCCAGTAAAAAAGATATAAACCAATTTCGTCCCACTAAATAGGTTTGGTAATAGTTTTTTTTCATTTTCGAGAGTTCTCTGTGTGTTTATAAATAGTTCTTGACCCTGATATTATTAAACTTTATGATATATTACGTTGTTTTGTAAATAATGATAATCAATGGATTTTTTCCCCGATTCAAGTTGGATGGGCAATAATAAGTAAACTGTTGTTTATAGACATCACGATTAATAAAAACTAGACTTCTATTATAGAGTCTATACTACACTATACCGATTAAACTTTATATTGTATACATGTATACATGCATACCTACATTATATTTAATTTTATAGTTTTTAGATTTGCTAAATTCATATAAAATACTAAAAAAATATTAGGTACAGAATACACATGTAGCTATGTAGATATGTAAGTACAATGTTATAAGTAATAAGGACTCATTTAATAAACAATATATTTTTAAATAAATTTATTATTTATACATTTTAAAATATATGAATTGCTTTCCTGATCTTAAGAGATTCAATTTATTTATAGCTTTTTTTACAAGATGCATCTCATTTGCTTCCACTCAGAGTAGTATTTATAGTAATTACCTATAGCTGCAGTCTAACCACAAAGTACCTACATAAGACCTAACTAACGAGCAGTTGGAGACAAAACTTTTTCACTTAAGAATACTAGATAGCAACAGCTATTGGTGGGGTCGGTGTAATACTTGAAAACGAATAGTTTTACCATTTTTATTTCACAAAACTTTCAGCTGTTCAAATACTAATTAGTCGTGTTTATTTTCAATGCAATTAAAGATTTTGAATTCTCATACTGTGGGTGTATGAACGTTACCTAAAGATTAAAACAATAATATTTGAAGAAAGTTATTGAAATCAACGAAATTGACCCCAAATTCTGAAGCAGATGCTGAATAACGCAGTTTGTTGCTTTAGGAAGCTCTGCAAACGTGCATTTCAGAGAACGGCCAATAACTTTGCGACACGATTTTCTACGATTTTTTAGTAAAAAAAAAAAAAAAAGGTTAATTTAAGCCAATTATGTGAGTTTTGAGTTATTCTTGTTTAAAAACCACGCGGAAACGCGGCAGACCCTATTCACTATAATTCTGAACCACACGTGACGACCGTGGTACCTAACTATCAACGCGCTAGACGTTTGACTGGATATCATAATATGGTGACGGACAACGCCGACAACGTCACCGGCCGTTGATAGTACCGCTACGGCCACCGCCGACGCACGCCACAGTTTTCCGAGCACACAAACCAGAGGTGCCCACGGACAGACCGCGTGCGACCGTTACGACTGCACAGTGCCGTCGCCGCCACCGTCATGACAGCAGTATCGTCTACGTACTTTTGGTCAATGCTCGTTTTCGCGATGGTCCACAACACCAAAGGTGGGTGTCAAATTTAATCCGTTCACAGCACAAAACAATAATATGTATAGAGTATTGTATGCGATTGCGTTTTAACATAAACCGTCCGTTCATAACATTTTAATTTAACGAATTTAATCAAACGCATGCACGACACTAACGTTTAGGTATATTAGGTATACCAATACACGACCATTACAGCTAGTTAGTAAACATTTTGTGTATTTGAATACTGTTTATTCGGTATTCAAAAATACTTTGATTTAGTACTAATGAAAATTATTTTCTAATATCGCGTAAACGCGTGTTGTATTAAATTTAAAACTATTTTCAAAACACTGATAAAATTTCCAACTAAATTTCGAAGGAATACATAAAATATCACTATTTATAAAGTATTTTTAAATACCTATCCCAAATTCGCATGTTTTTGAAAAGTATATGTATTCATGTTTAAATAAATTTAGAAAAAACATAGTATATGTATTTCGAATGATTATTATATTTATATAATAATTTTTTTCATGACATGTGTATTGGATATAAAATTATAATATATCATTAATATCCTTGCGTTGTTAGGACGAAAATGTATTATGCTATAATGTGTTATGCTATTTTGCAGTACATACATTTTACGAAATTATGTTATGGTAAACTTGTGTAAAACCACAGGATGTTTTGCAAAATGCACATAATATGTACGACTAGATTACATAATATTATATAATATATATGCTATTATTACTGATGTTTAGATGTAAGATATAGTTTAGTCTGAATAGTCCCATATAAGTTAGAAAATCGTGGTTTTTATTAAAGTAACCTGAAATCATATAGATCGATATTTAACATTTGTGCTAATCGTTAATATCTTATAACTATATTTTCTATAGTAGTGGAAATTAATGCCACTTTTTTAAAATGATTATCATATCAATATCAAACTTTAGAGTTCTAATTATTAATGTACATTCTAATGTGACAGTGATCAATAGCATTCATAAAATAATTTTGAGTAGTGCTCCGTAGTATAATAAATATGTTTCTAGGACGTTTAGTAATTATTTTTTCATTAAATTTAATAGACTATAATATATGGTCTTATTGTTTAAAACATAAATACCAAACTTCAAACTATATTAAAACTTAAAATAAACTTAAGTGTAAATGTTATGAAATTAAATTAATATTTATATACAATATTGATAGGAAATAAATAAAAAAAAAAAAACCAATAACGGTGTATTAAAATTTTGAAACATATAATCAATTTAAACTTAAATTTTAGAGATAACTGTAAAAATTAATTAGTATTACGCAAGTTCAATTTATAGTCTATTGAAAAATTATATGAAAGTTTTAAAAACATTTTTATTATATACCATATACATTTTCTATACTCAAATATTATATCATATAATATGGTATATGCATTATATAAACTTAAAATAAACTATTGTTTTACTTGATGTTACACAATAATTTCTTGTTAGTTTAGTAGATATATAAATAAAATTGACATACATTTTCCTATAGAAGAGATTTTATAATGTAGGATTTGTAATAAAAATAATACTAGGAAAATCCTATAATTCTTCAAATAGTAAAATCCTATTAATTTTGTATCTATTTAACATAATACTACGTAGATATAACTTAAAAATTGATACTCAAAGTTTTGAATGTTTTGATCATTGTATTTATGAGTTGAAGAGAATAAGATGTTAGTTTTATAAGACGAACATAACTTTTCTGTTTCAATCAACATTAACGTGATATTAATTTGAGTTGTGTGTCACAACATATATCATGTATAATAAATAAATAAAGTTACCTAACTCTTGAAAATATAAAATAATGAACATACCAGGTAAATCTCTCTCGACGGTTGACTACTTAGTTTGATAGAAAGCAGAAAGAAAACTATAATAAACAGTAATAAAAATTTAGTGAAAAAAGTTTCATATAAAACTTTTTTGTATTTAAAATTATGTATATATTATAACCTAAGTTAAAAAATCCATAAATAAATATTTGAATATTTTTTTATTTGAACATATTTTTATAAAATATTTTATTTAATTATGTAATTCAATACCATTTAATAGAATACTCATGTCTAATGTACATAGTGATTTTGTACTTCTTTATAAAATAATATGTTCAATGTAGTTTATTTTTAAGTTAAAGATAAAACGTAGAAAATAATAATTTACTCCATCCCGTAGATTTAGATGTCTTAATTCATAATAATCAATATTAATAGTACTGAGTACATACGTTATAAATATGTATTCCTTGTTTTATACTGATAATTGATAAAAACGTATATACTATATCAATTTCAAATAATTAGATTCATTCTTATATTAAATTTTTTTTTTTTAACGCAAAATACTGTATTTTATTAATTTGGTATGATAAAAATATTTATTTTCTAATTTAAAATTTTCAATAATGAATATATTAAATTAATACTAAATTTTAATTTTCTTATTGTAAAAACATCACTTATACTTTTATACCATCAAAATTTGTATTTAATTCCTAACGTTATAATAATGTAAGAAGATTTTTAAAATTTCAATGCAATACATTGATTTTGACTTTATATAAAATAATATTCGTATGTACAATGTAAGTACGAATAAATCATAAAATAGAAATATGTGTACGAATTAAATTATCTTGATAATAATTCAATTTATAATATTACACGTATTGAAAATAGAATAATATAAAATTTGTTTTTGATAAAATAATCATTAAATGACAAATAACTTGGCCAAAAATTATTTTTTGAATTTTTGACATTTTTCTACAACATCTACCATGTTTTTATTCAAGAAATATTTTCAAAAATGTTTTATGGAAAGATGCATTTACAATATAAATTTTATATCTATACATATAATGCAGTTGATGACTTGATTATTTTCAATTTTATTTCAACATTATTTTTTTTTTTTAATCAAATACATGGAAATGTAATTTTTTTATTTAAAATATTACTCCAGAGTAACTCTTATTGAGCACTTTTGAATAAACCTTATTCATGAGTTCACAACAAAGAACATATATAAATTCGATATTCGATGTGAAATGAAATACTTAATATAAAAATGACTTATAGAGTATTTTCTTTAAATTGTATAATTATTCTTTTACTCAAATAATTAATTATTTGTATAACTACAAAGTAATAATAATTATTATAATACTTTCAATATTATTTTAATTGCACGCATTAAATAAAATACTACAAATATTAATTAATTAATTAAAGACAAACTTATCTTTGTAGAATATAATTTACGTCCTTATGTATAGTATAATCTATTTAGATATGTAAAAACTAGGAATTTGATTGTATATATAATATATTATATATAGCGTTTTTATAAATTCTTATGATCTTTCTCCTATATTGTTCCTTCAAATCGAATATATATGTTCATGATTGTACGATATACAAATCACACCAACGGAAGCTTTGATTATTTGTCCGACATAATAAAAAAAACATATAATAATAATAAAACCCAAACTCTGACTGTGGTCTATATATATATTCGTATAACACTATAACGCATAACTATCAAAGAAATTGAAATAAGTGCTGACAAGTTTCATTCATTCCAATTTTATGTCACATAAAACTTACTAGATTTTTTTCAATTGAATAACATAAAATGTTAAAATTTGTATTGTATCAATCAATTTATTTCAACAAACTATTAGAAAGTAAATATCTATATTTTATTTTATTTAAGTATGTATAAGAACCGTAATAACACCGAAAACATCATTCTGATATAAACGTAAGATTGATAACGCAATATTATATAGGTACATTATTTTTTTTATTATTTAGTTAATTTACCATCTCAGCATATTAAGTGTTATAAATTTACAATAAATACATTGTATTCAATACAAATTAACATAAACATTTATTTATTAGTTGTCTTGTTAATCATCTAAAAAAATGTCTTGGTAGAATAAGTAGTCTTAGCCTAGGTTTAGATGTATTTGGAGAATTCTCATGGTTTTATTTAGGTTATTTTAAAAATGTTTGTATTGGTTAATTATCCATATTGATTTGTAGATCAATCCTGCGTCATTGTGTAGTTATTTATTTCATATGAACCAAGAAAGCTCGAGTGCTATTTTCAGAAATTTTTTGGTTCTTGTTTGGCATACGGCAACCAATTCTGAGCACTATACTGAGTATACGTAAGTTAGCTTTAGAGAAAATTTTATTTGCAGGGTTGAGTTTTGTTTTAATAAAAGTATGGTATTTTTATCTTAGCGTTTTTTTTTTTGTTTTTTTTTTTTATTATTAGTTTATTAAGTCAGGTTTTATCTTCGATTATTTCTCTAGTCATCCTTGTTGTTCTATTGAATTTTTTTGATTCTTAATTTGATCCAATGTTGGATTTATATATTACCTCAAGTTATTAAAATATTAGATAAATACGTATATTTTCACTTTTCATGTAATTTATAGTTTTTTTTTTTATTCGTCAAACCATTATTTAATGGTTATATTTTTCATTTTATGTATTTTACATTCAATATTCTTTTAACTTTACAATTATTATATGAAATTTAAAAGTTTTGGATGGATCAGATACTCATAGTTAAAATCAATATTAAAAAAAGCTAATATTAAAATATTTTGATATTTAATGTTTACATGTATAAAAGACTCAAGTATACACATGTGTTTATAATTTTCTTAAGTTTAACTTAAAGTTTAACTTTGTAAAGATTTCGAAAACAAAGTACTTAAATTACAAGTAATTAAAAACTGTATAGAAGTTCTTGAGATAAATCAATATAAATGATAAGAATAATAATATCAACGCTTCGCACAACTAAATTTTGCAAGAATTATCATTATTGTTATTCAATTTAGGGTAAAGAACTCCTATAAATATTTGCATTTTGTAAGTTACTAATTCATTTCATGGTGTAACAACGTCAAATATTAAATTTTAATTTACATATTTTTA